TTCATCCTCTCCACCTTCCCACTTGACTGAGGTCTCCAAGGAGTACATAGATCCCATTTAATCCCAAGAACCTTCCTAAGCTGTTGTGTCGCACCTTGTGAAGAAACAGACTCAGTCTGGGGTGCAGAGTGAGACAACTTTATTTTCCAAACCAACCTCTTTTTATACTTAACACAAGTGTTGCAAAGCTTACAACCAATCAGCATCTTGCCACCTGTGCGGTTGTCCTGGCTTTGCTTCTTTTCTTCTGACAAGACATTCCTCACATGAGGCAGGGGGAGGTGTTTTGTAGCCCTCCTCCTTTTTCGGTTCTATCCCCCATCTGCTGAGAAGACTGACATCCTTGTGGTTAACTATCTGCTAACAAGGTACTATTGTCTTTGAAGGAGCCTCCACACTGTTGTACTTTATCAGCCACAAAATGAGGACCTCAGTCAGAGGATATCCCTATTGGAACACCAAACCTGGGTATGATTTCTTTCAATAACACTTTGATTACCTCTCCTGCCTCCTCGTTCGACAAGGAAAGGCTTCTAGCCATCCTGAAAAGGTGTCAATTACCACCAAGAGACACCTGTAACTACTTTGTCTTGGCAGCTCTGAGAAATCGATCTGCCAGTAGTCCCCAGGGGAATTACCCTGTTTAATAATTCCTGAGGGAGGCCTCTTTCTATTCATTGGGTTATTTCTGAGGCATAGGGGGCACTTTGCAGTAACAGATTTTACAGTTCCTGTCATTCCCACACTGACAACTGAATTTACTAAACTAGAAATCATAGCCTCACTTCCCCAATGAGTTTCTTTGTGTTTCCTTTCCACGATCTCAGTCATTATTGGCTGAGGGACAATAATTTGTTTCGTTGGGGTCACTAACCATCCTTCATTAGTCAATATTGCATTTAGTGTAGCTGCTAATGTCTTATCTGCCTCACTATATTTAGGCCTTACCTCTGGGAGCTCAATCCTTTTTACCCATACTAGAGCCAGGATGCCTTGTTCAGCAGCCTCCTTTGCAGCTTTATCAGCCAACCTGTTTCCCATGCGTACTGCTGTCTGGCCAAATTGGTGTGCTTTACAATGCATTATGGCCACCTCTCTCGGTCATTTTATGTCCTGTAGAAGCTGAAGGATTTCTTCCTTATACTTGATGGGTGATCCTTAAGATAACAGCCCTCTCTCTTTCCAAATGGCTCCATGAGCTTGGACCACTCAACGCATATTTGGAATCAGTCCATATATTTATCTTTTGGTCTTCAGCTATTGTGAGAGCCTGGCTCAATGCCACCAACTCTGCCTTTTGTGCTGATGTATTGGCAGGAAGGGACTCTGCCTTTAACACTTGGGTAGCGGTAACTACTGCCTATCCAGCAATCCGTCTTCCACCTCATACAAGACTGCTGCCATCTGTGAACAACTCCAAATCGGGATTGGTTAATGGCTCATCCCTTAGATCCTGTCTGCATGAATACACATGTTCAATAGTCCACAGGCAACCATGATAGAGAGTTTCAGAGTGCCTTAATTTGGAATTCATAAACATTGCTGGGTTAACTGCTGTGGTAGTTTTAAGCTCCACATTATCCTGTTCTAATAGGACAAGCTGATATTTCAGCATATAGCTGGGAGACAACCAACGTCCTCCTTTTTGTTCCAGAACAGATATTACCACATGCGACACATAGACTGTGATCTTCTGTCCAATCGTCAGCTTTCTAGCTTCCTGAATCAAAATGATGGTTGCAGCTACTGACCGCAAATATCCTGGCCATCCCTTACTCACATTGTCCAGCTGTTTGGAGAACTACCCCATGACCCTCCTCCATGCCCCCAGTTTCTGAGTTAGCACTCCCATGGCCAGCTGTTACCGTTCGTGTACAAATGGCTCAAAGGGCTTTGATAAATCAGGTAATCCAAGTGCTGGTGCTGACATCAGGGCGTTTTTAAAGGCTGCTTGGCATTCAGGGGTCCACAATAGGTGGTCCTCTTTTGACACTTTTAAGGTTTCATAAAGGGGCCTTACCATTGATCCATAGTTAACAATCCACAGTCTACACCAGCCGACCATACCCAGGAACGCCCTCAACTCTCGTGCAGTTCTTGGTTCTGGAGTTTGGCAGATTGCCTCTTTCCTGTCATTTCCCAGTCTCTGTTGTCCTCGTGAAATCTCGAGACCTAAATAAATCAGTCTCCTTTCCTATCTGAGCTTTACTTCTCGTTATATGGTATCCTCCTTGTCCCAAGAAATTTAACAGGCTTATGGTCATTTGTAGACATT